ACCAACTATTTCTTGGGAAACGCGGCGATAATTATTACCACCAAATAAAACACAACGGTCTTTTTTCCCATTACAAACATATTCTAGGAAAACGTTCGGAATATTTTCCGAAAAGCGAGCGTAAATACCGAACGAGTATATCGGATCAAGCTCATGCCCCCTGGGCATCCTATAATACTCCTTAAAACCAATTAATCAAATATGGCCGCCGTTGTAAAAAGGTCTATTGGCCATTTGCACATCTCCCATAATACACCTTGTTTGCCCCCAAAGTTTTGCATAACCGTCTTTTCAATTTCTGTTGGGTATTGTAGTTTTCCCAGGAGAGACTGAAGACAATGCTTATGCACAATTTTGGGGGAGTATGTGTATTATGAGAGAAGTGCGAATTTGGTCACCAAACGGCCTTGACTGAATTAACAGTTATACAAATATTTAAATAATTCTAAATTGAGTGTGATACAATATTTCAGCCACAAAACCTTGAAATAAATCACTTTTTATAGAAAAAAGACGAATTTGGTAAAACAAGGCTGTTAAACCCGGTAACGTTAAAGTTGACGTACAGGTCGCCATGTTTTTAAAATGTTGTTAGATTATTTTTTAGGACTATTTGCTAAGTTTGATTTCATAGTTTGAACGATTTTGAAGATATTCAAAGATGTTCCTTGGTCTCAATAAGGTAAAATCCAAATCAAAATAACTCAGTGAGTTAGTTTCTATAAAGAACTAAAGAAATAACTAGCAATTTGTTTTGTTCCCTTACTTTTTTCTGTAGCTAAGCTTGGTTTTTTTCTTTTTGATTAAGCCAACTGTCGCTCACCTCGTGTTTTAAATCATGGTCTTAAAATCGGTAATAACTATACACACGGAAAAACAGTTCGATACTCTTGTAACATTGGGTACACACTTGAGGGCGAGGCTGAACTGTCTTGTGTAGATGGAAAATGGAACACTGCTACTCCCAAGTGTAAAGGTTAGCGTTCATTCTTGTTTTTTAAAATAAAAGCTTGTGTTGATTTTGGAGGTAAAGGGGGTTGTTTTATTTGCAACTTTTTTAATTGCGTGACAGATTTCGGTAATGGTTGCAAAATGAGTTACACACCCTGCAACTTTGAACCGTTGAAAGAAGACTAAGCTCGCGTGGGTCTACTTAAGTTGCAGTTACTTTACCCTGCTATTTTTATTTCTTGTTACAAAATTAACCACCCTGTAATTATTATAGCTGTTGAGTGTGGTGATCCTGGCAAACCAGCAAACGGAAAGCAGATTGTGAAGACAGCCTACGTCTATGGTGGATCAGTCAAGTTTGTTTGTGACAAGAATTACACTCTAGTGGGGACTGATGTTATATATTGTCAAGCTAATAGGAGTTGGAGTTCCTCTGTTCCACGTTGCTTAGGTAAGTGCCATGGGTAAGAGAAAATAAAAGACATTAGTCCCGCTAACTATTAGTAACTATTTTTTTCCAAAAGGGTTTTTAAGGGGTAAAACACAGTTACATTTCGTGGTCGTTAAAAACTGATCTATACATAAATTAGCAGTAGAAATATTGTAGCTTTTAAACGGCAAAAGTTCGACAAAACACGACAAAACGTATCGTCATACTTAATAAACAAGAGTTTAACCCTAACCTGACCATGCTTTTTGTTCCTTTTCTTGCTTCGTAAGACAGGGAAACGTGGGCAGCTCCTCTCTGTAACTTAAAACAGATCATAACACATCCACCAAAATTATACCTAATAATGTACTCATCACTTTCAACATCTAGGGATCACTAACTCGATTTGAGGTACTTATGACGTAACATTGTTATGAGTTATAAGCAGAATCCAAATTTCATTTTTTTTGCCTAGGAGTAGCCATGAAGCGAAAAATGCTGAAATAGTGAAATGTTTGAAAAAAATTACGAAGTTGGCTGACACACGGATAATCTTTAACAATTCCAGAGGAGTCATGATGACTTTGTTTATTATTAGAGAACGTACTGGAACAACACCATATTAAATCTGCCATTTTGAATTAATTTTGTTCAAAAGCGGGTAATGCTCGATGTACCAAGTCAATATATGCACTATTGTGTCATTCTATTGTGTGGAGATAATTGTGTTATTGTTTACGGGCTAGGGATCATTGTTGTGTTCTTTGAGACGTAACTCTAGATTGCTATTCACTTGATCTATAGTTAACCAGCTCAATGAAAAACTCGTGCAAATCGAGGACACCGTGATATTATATACAACCTCTGTATTAAAGTATGTTTACAAAGCAAAAAATAAAATAAAAGTAAAAATACCGATGTAAGTGTAAAATTAAAAGTAAAAAAAAAATAAACAACAACAAAAAAACTGCTAGTAATTTACCGTGTTGAACCGGCACTGTTGAAATTTGAATCTAACTTCTACCATTAAGTCAGTTTATATTCAAGTTTTTGAATTGGCCATTTGCGCATCTGCCACAAGGACACCTCGTTTGCCCCCTAAAGTTTTTCCAGCAAACAAAGACAATGCTTATGCAAATTTTTGAGGGCAAACAAGGTACATTATGGCAGATGTGCAAATGGCGAATTTAGTCATCAAAAAGCCTGGATTAAATTAACAGTTATAATGAATATATCAAATAATTTAAATTTATTGGGACACAATATTCAATAAGTAAACCTTGAAATAAATTGATCCAATCATATTATATGGTACAAAAGGCAAATATTGTGAAATAAGGCTGTTAAAACCTCGGTTACCATGGTAACGTGAAAATTGACGTACAAGTCGCCTTAATTTTGAAATGTTATTTGATCATGTTTTGTAAGAAAAATTTCCTAAATTTGTTGTCATGCACGTAGTTTGAATTATTTTGAAGATATTTGGGTCCTTCAACGCTCCTGAATCAGGTAAAAGCAAAATCGAACGAATTCAGTCAATTAGTTTCTTATGAACTAAAGACATAACGGGCAATTTATTTTATTGCCTTTCTTTTTTCTGTTGCTAAGCTTAGCTTAATTTTTTTTCGTTTTTGATTAAGCTAACTGTCACTCACCTGGTGACTTACATCATGGTCTTAAAATCGGTAATAACTACACGCACGGAAAAACAGTTCGATACTCTTGTAAACTTGGGTACACACTTGAAGGCGAGGCTGAACTGACTTGTGTAGATGGAAGATGGAACACTGCCACTCCCAAGTGTAAAGGTAAGCTTTCATTCTTGTTTTCCATTTCCAAAATAAAAACTTTCGTTGATTTTGCATTGGAAGTTAAGGTTATTTTATTTGCAACTTTTCAAATGACGTGGCAAATTTTAGTAATGGCTGCAAAATGAATTATATAGCCCACAACTTTGAACTGGTAAAAGAAGAATTAACTCGTGAGCGTCTACTCAAGTTGCAGGCTAAAGCTTTACTTGATACCCTGCAATCTTCATTTCCCGTATTGGTTTATTATACATAAACGACAAAGGCTAAAAAATTAACCACCCTGTAATTATTACGATAGCTGTTGAGTGTGGTAATCCTGGCAAACCAACTAACGGAAAGCAGATTGTCAGGAAGGGCTACGTCTATGGTGGATCAGCCAAGTTTTTTTGTGACAAGAATTACACTCTGGTGGGGACTAATGTTATATATTGTCAAGCTAATAGGAGTTGGAGTTCCTCTGTTCCACGCTGCGTAGGTACGTGCCATGTGTAAGACAAAATTAAAGACGTTTACCTTCATTAGTTTTTGCCTTAAAGTATAAATAGTAGTAAGATTGGATGGTCGTAGAAATGTAATTTATGAAAATTAGCAGTACAAAATTGTAGCTTTTTAGAAATACGTATTAATACTAGTTGTTCGAACAATTTAACTTAGTGTGCTAAATAATACTAAGAGAAACGCAAGTTAACGAAACCAATTAATTTACTATGAAATTTGGTCTTAAAGAACAAATCATTCGTTTACCCTTGTTTTTCTGTTATTAAGATTTTTCTTTCTGTTCAAATTAAAGCTAACTGTCGATCCCCTGGTGATATAAATCACGGCCTTAAAATCGGTAATAACGGAAAGACAGTTCGATACTCTTGTAACGCTGGGTTCACACTTGAAGGCGAGGCTGAAGTGACTTGTGAAGAGGGAACATGGAATACTGATACCCCCAAGTGCAAAGGTACATTTGTAAGCGTGAATGAATTGGTATTTAGAGATATATAGCTTGTAGCCTGGGACTAGGATCCGCATTGGGAAAAAAAAAGAAAAAAATGAGCTCGGGCGAAAAAAAAATTGGCGAGCGAGGCGATCCGTAAGGTAGTCTGGGGAGGGAAAAGGGTAGCAGGGCCTGGAGACATGCCTTTGATGCCTCCGATCCGCCATCCAGCAATTAACTTGTCATTGAAATGTCAACAATTCAGCACGTCAGCTTTTTGTGTCGCTTTTGTAAAAAAAATATTTGAATTCGAGATGAAGCCGTAAGAGTGGAAGCAAAGAGATCTACTTAACTTCAATCGCCAACTCGATTACCACCAGCTCCGGCCAAGAGAAATAAAGACGGTTCAGAGGAAAATGCACCACATTCGGCCGGTGAAGTACAGCCGAATAGATTCTCAAGGAGATCCCTCAGAGTTCGCATCATAATGCTCGTTTACTTAGCTTCTTATGATGTACCAAATGAAATATTGCTCTTAGTAGAGTTCTTTTTTTCCGCGGAGATAACATGTGTAAGTTTATCTCCTTACGCGACATGGACCTGAGTTTTTGGAAAGTCTTGGTAGTGGCCTATCCAGGAAATCTGAGGGTTTTGTTTAGGCATTTAACTTGAAGATCGAGGTTATAACAGTTTTAAAAGAGGTACAAAGAAAACTATCAGATAAAGGAACAAATAATAGAATGGATAGTTTGGAGACTCAGGTTTTAATTCAAGAAAATGGCTTTAGGCTGGAAAATTTTGCAGGGACGTTTAAGAAACGTGCAACACATCCTATCATACATGCGGAAGGTACGTGAGACCACGCGATCTGTTCGCGGTCTTCTTGTTTTCCAAAATAAAAAGTTGTATTGATTTTGGAGCTTAATGTTGTTGTTGTTTTTTTGCAACTGTTAATTTTAGGTAACAAATTTTTGTAATGGCTGCAAAATAACTAAGCCCTTAAAATTTAACTGTCAAATGAAGAATTAAGTCGAGTGCATCTACTCGATTTGTAGTCAAAGTTTTAACTAGTATCCTGTGATCTTCATTTCCCATACGTGTTTAATTGTAAAGGACAAAGATAAAAAAATAAGATCCCTTGGAATTGTTATAGCTGTTGAGTGTGGTGATCCTGGCAAACCGACCAATGGAGATCAGATTGTCAAGAAAGGCTACGTCTATGGCGGATCAGTCAAGTTTGTTTGTGACAAGAATTACACTCTAGTTGGGGCTGATATTATATATTGTCAAGCTAATAGGAGTTGGAGTTCCTCTCGTCCACGCTGCGTAGGTAAGTGCCATGTGTAAGACAAAATTAAAGACATTTACCCTCTTTGGTTTTTGCCTTAAAGTATAAATAGCAGTAAGATGGAGTTCCTCTGTTCCACGTTGCTCAGGTAAGTGCCATGGGTTTCGTGGTGGTTAAAAAATGATCTATACATAAATGATAAGTAGAAATGTTGCAGGTTTGAAACGACAAAAGTTCGACAAAACACGAAAAAACTTATCGTCATACTTAATAAACAAAAGTTTAACCCTAATTTGACCATGCTTTTTGTTCCTTTTCTGGCTTCCTAAGAAAGGAAAACGTAGGAGGCTCCCCTCTATAACTTAAAACAGATCATAACACATCTTCCAAAATTACACCTAATAATGTACTCATCATTTTCAACATCTAGGGATAACTCATGCGATTTGAGGTACTTATGACGTAACATTGTTGTGAGTTATAAGCAGAATCAAAATTTTATTATTTTATTTGCCTAGGAGTAACCAAAACGCGGAAAATGCGAAAATGGTGAAATGTGTAAAAAACTTATAAAGTTGGCTAACACCCGGATAATCTTTAACAGAAGCAGTGGCGTCATGATGACTTTGTTTATTATTAGAGAACGTACTGGAACAACGCCATATTAAATCTGTCATTTTGAATTGATTTTGTTCAGTCAAAACCGTGTGATGCTCGATATACCAAGTCAATATATACACTATTTTGTCGTTTCATGGTGTGGAGTTAATTGAGTTATTGTTTACGGGATAGGGATCATTGTCGTGTTCTTTGTGACGTAACTCTAGATTGCTATTCACTTGATATATAGTGCACCAGCTCAATTAATAACCCGTGTAAATAGAGGTAACCGTGATATCAAAAACGACCTGTGTATTAAAGTATGCTTAAATAGCAAAAGACAAAATAAAATAGAAGTAAAAATACCGATGTAAACCTACAATTAAAAGAAAAAAAAACTGCTAGTAATTAACCTTGTTGAACGCTGTTGAAATTTCAATCAAACTTCTACCATCAAGTCATTTTATATTCAAGTTTTTGAATTGGCCATTTGCACATCTGCCATAAGACGCCTCGTTTGCCTCCTAAAGTTGGTGGTTTTTTTGGAAGCCCTGTAGATTTGAATTAAGTTTGAGCAAGGCAAGTGGTGGGTTGTTTGTAACTGTGTTGTTTGTAACCTGTGTATTTAAGTATGCTTAAAAACGAGAAAATAAAATAAAATAAAAGTAAAAAGACCGAAGTAAATGTAAAATTAAAGTAAAGGGAAAAAGACTTCTGGTAGTTAACCTTGTTAACCACTGTTGAAATTAGAATCCAACTTCTACCATTAAGTCATTTTATATTTAAGTTTTTGAACTGGCTATTTGCACATCTGCCATAAGACACCTCGTTTGCCCCCTGAAGTTGGTGGTTTTGTTTGGAAGCCCTGTAGATTTGAATTAAGTTTGAGCAAGGCAAGTGGTGGGTTGTTTGTGACTGGCTCTGACTACAGATGGCATGGCGGGAGGGCGAAAGGGAGAAATTGCAAAAAATATAAGACATCTAAATATGTCAACGGCTCTTCATCGCTTTAGAACATTTACTTTAAGCCGAGACTTGCTCAAATTCGAGCACTTTTAACAAACGCTTAAGCCATGAAGCTAATGCTTGCATAATCAAATAGGTTTATATTTATTTCAAGGCCAAAATTTGAATTGATTGCGTCTAGTTTATACACCGATAGGTTTGAGACTGATTGGAGGACGTTGGCCTGGAGAGGGCAGAGTGGAGATCTATTACAACGGTACCTGGGGAACGGTTTGTGACGATTATTGGCATAAAAATGATGCTCGAGTTGTCTGTCGTCAACTTGGGTATCCGTCCGCTGTCAGTGCTCCACACAGAGCACGGTTTGGTATAGGAAGTGGAAAGATTTGGCTGGACAATGTTCAGTGTCAGGGAAATGAAAATTCCATTGTGAATTGTCGACACCGTCCATGGGGTGAGCATAACTGTGACCACTATGAGGATGCATCAGTGATCTGTTCAAGTAAGTAATAAATAGATTGTAATTATAATTATTATAGCTCTTCTTAAAGTTGAGCCGAATGTCAATTACAATGGACACTCTCGGGACACCTGCGTATTGAAGGGGAGTCCAATTAAAATGTTCTCATACATAACCTTTTTATTTGTTACCTCTATTGAAGGGACATCTCTATTCAAGGGAAAGGAACACTTGTTCTGGGTCCCGAAACCCGGCTTTAAACTCCATTCAAGCGACACCTTAAATCAGCACCCAAAAGCTAACTAACGGCAAAATTCGTTGATAAGTTCACTAGTCACGATGGCGACAGCTTTCAAAACATGAACTATCTGACTTGAAAACGATGTATTACACTTGTGAGACTTCAACACACCACATCACAGAAATAAGTTAATCAGGATTTTTTTTGGACATTATCTAGATGCTTGAAATAATGACTGCAGCAGATTTCGAGGCAGAATAAAAAATGCAGTTTTATTTGTTGCTTTAATTACTAACAAACCCCAGCCCATTACCTCCATTTAGAGCGGACACCTCTGTTCATGCTAAACTTGCTTTAGACCCAAGAATTTCCCGATGTTATGGGTGGGCAAGCTGTTGTAATACGTAGTTTGTGTGATTCTATTAATTATTAGAAATAACGAAATTACTGACTATATAATTGTAGACCCATTGGAATAGATTACATTGTGCAAAGCAGGATCTATTACTTGACAGGCGTCACATGAGTGTGACTATTTGAAAGTGTTCCACAGATAATTTTTCCTAATCTTAATGCAGTTCATAGTATTGCCATTAAAATTTCACCTACGCAGCCATTTGCACAAAACTCTTGTCACAAGTTGCTTAATTAACTACTAAATGATATATCACAGCATGATTGGTGTAATACATAAGGGGCTTTGTAATCATCCCTGCACCCGCACCTTTGATTCGCCACTGCTGTTTAAACTTGATTCGGCGATGTCAAGAGAGAATTCAACAGTCATCATTGCAAATATCCTGCTTTTTTTTCCTTTGAGGGTTTGATTCTTGACTTGATTAAAATGTGCGGACGCCTTAGGAATAAGACTTCCGTTTAATTACAACCACTAAAAATAAATTTAGTGAAATTCACATATCTACACCAACACCTTAAGATTTCCTCTGCCGGTCCCATTAAACTCTCTTGGCCAGTATGTCAAGGCGTTTTCATTGACAGTGTAATTTTTAAATCAAGTTTCGCAGAAAAATTCAACTTAAGTTCTGTTCCTCAATAATATGGTCATCAAAGAGGTAGCTGGAAGACGACGGCCTTATAAGGGGCTCTAGGTGGTTGGTCTATAAAAATGAAAATCCCTAGCCTAGTTCTGTTACATTTCGCAGTATTCCCCTATTCCTTTGCACACTTCAGTCAAATACCATCGAAGAAGTTCTGTGCAGATTACACAAAACGACGAAGTTTTCCATTTTAAAATATTCTGTGTACATGACAGGTTAACAGATGTTGGAATAGAGTTGTTTGTTTCTTCGCTTTGTCTGTTTGCCTTTCAAAACCCAAATAAGAATTTACCTCAACTTATACACTAGCAACTTTGAGACTGATTGGTGGAAGTGGGCCTGGAGAGGGCAGAGTGGAGATCTATTACAGAGGTACCTGGGGAACTGTTTGTGACGATAATTGGGATAAAAATGATGCTCGAGTTGTCTGTCGTCAACTTGGGTATTTGTTTGCTGTCAGTGCTCCACACAGTGCACGGTTTGGTCAAGGAAGTGGAAAAATTTGGCTGGACAATGTTCAATGTCAGGGAAATGAGAGTTCCATTGTGAATTGTCGACGCCGCCCATTGGGTGAGCATAACTGTGGACACCATGAGGATGCATCAGTGATCTGTTCAAGTAAGCGTAATAATAAATAGATTGTAAGTTATAATTATTATAGCTTGTATTATAGTTGAGTCGAGTGTCAATTACAATGGACCCTCTCGTGACACCTCCGTATTGAAGGGAAAATTTAGGGAAGTCCCAGGAAAGTGTTCACAAACATAACCTTTTTATTTGCTACCTCTATTGAAGGGACATCTCTATTCTGGGGAAAGGAACACTTTTTCTGGATCCCTAAACCCGGCTTTAACCTCCATTCAAGGGACATCTTAATCAGCACCCAAAAGTGGACTAACGACAAAATTCGTTGATAAGTTTAAGTGTTACATAACATAACATACATGTTTATTCAAACTCATAATAACTACATGAATTTGAAAGGGAGAGTCTAGAGGTTAACCCTATGAATAAAACTCTCCTAAAAACAACAAACAAACAATAAAAATTACAACTTTAAAAAGGATTTGAGTTTACATTTAAAAAGTTCAAGGGAACCGGCTTCAACAAAATTACTAGGTAAGTTGTTCCAATAAATAATTACATTGTTAAAAAAAGAATATTTAAAACAGTTGATTCTAGATAATTTACAATAAAGCTTATACGAGTGATTTGCCCTAGTGGATTTGACTTTTGCGAATTGAAAGAATTCCTCAAAATCCAAGTGTGATAAGCCAAACACGATCTTATAACATTCAACAAGAGAGGAATATGTCCTACGACTGGACAAAGATGGCCAATGTAACGAGTCACAACGCTCTTCATAAGACATATCACCTCTTTTTTGCCTAAGAGCTTATCTTGACGCGCGTCTTTGCACGCTCTCTATTGCATGAATATCTTTGACAAGATATGGGTTCCAGACTGGAGCAGCATACTCTAGAAGTGGTCTGACCAATGTTTTGTAAAGCAATGAAAAAGTTGTTGTATTAGCTGTTCCAACAGACCGTCTTATTAGCCCTAGGACTTGGTTCGCCTTATTCACCATAGTACTAATATGTTCACTCCAAGTAAGATCTTTTGATATAATAATTCCAAGATCTTTAAAGCTCTTGACATCTTTTAAGGCCGTACCTAGTTTATAATTCGTAGTCGATTTGTCACGAGAATGCGTTATTCGCATTGCTTCACACTTTTCCTCATTGAAACGAAGTTGCCATTTTTTCGCCCATTTACCAAGATTATTCAAATCAGTTTGAAGGTATTGTTCATCGAGACTAGGGTTGCGAAGCTCTCTGTAAATCTTTGTGTCATCCGCAAATAATTTAATTTTTGAAGAGACACTATCAACGATATCATTTATATATGATAGGAATAAAATTGGACCAAGTATAGTTCCCTGTGGGGTACCAGATATCACAGGTGCCCAATCAGAAAAAGTCCCTCTTACAACAACTCGTTGCTTTCTACACGTGAGGAAATGCCTCAACCAGTTAAGAAGTTTGCTCTCAATACCGAGGCTATATAACTTTATGAGTAGACGCTCATGAGGAACACTATCAAAAGCCTTGCGAGATCAAGAAATACAACATCTGTTGCAACAGATGAATTCCTAGATCTGGCGAAGTCATGAAAAGTAGAGAGTAATTGGGTCACAGTAGACCTACCCTGCAAAAAACCAAATTGGTTTTTGTTTATCACGTTATGGTCTTGCCAAAATGACGTTAACCTATCGCGTACAATTTTTTCGCTGATTTTGCATATCATGGATGTAAGCGAAATTGGACGATAATTCTCCCTCAAGTGCTTAGAACCTTTCTTATGAAGTGGGACAATATCAGCTGATCTCCAATCTTCGGGCAAATGGCCCAGCAGGAAAGATTTGTTAACCAGAAATGAGATCGAGGGCGCCAATTCGAACGCACATGATTTTAAAATTACTGGTGAAATTCTATCTGGACCCGGGGACTTGTTCGTTTTAAGAGACTTAAGATGCTTTAAAATTTCCTCAGTAGTACAGGAAATATAATTAAGTTTCTCACAAACTAAAGGCTCTAAAGAAGGCAAGTTGGTGAAGTCCTCACTAGTCAGAAGGGCTACAGCTTTCAAAACAGGAACTATCTCACCTGGAAACGATGTATTACACTTGTGAGACTTCACATTACAGAAATAATTTAATCAGGATTTTTTGTACATTATCTAGATGCTTGAAATAATGACGGTAGCAGATTCCGAGGCAGAATAAAAAATGCAGTTTTATTTGTTAATTAATTATTAACAAACCCTAGCATATTACCTCCATTCAGGGCGGACACCTGTATGTTCAGCCTAAGCTTGCCTCGGTCCCGAGAATTTCCCGATATTATGGGTGGGCAAGCTGTTGTAATACGTAGTTTGTGTGATTCTATTTATTATTAGAAATAATGAAGGAGGAGGAGTAGCCATGAAGCGGAAAATGCTAATATAGTGAAATGTTTAAAAAACTTATGAAGTTGGCTAATACACGGATAATCTTTAAAAATAGTAGTGGCGTCTTAATGACTTTGTTTATTAATAGAGAAGGTACTGGAACAACGCCATATTAAATCTGCTTTTTTGAATTAATTTTTGTTTAAAACCGGGTGATGCTCGATATACCAAGTCAATATATACACTATTGTGTCGTTGTATTGTGTGGAAATCATTGTGTTATTGTTTACGGGCTAGGGATCATTGTAACTGTAGATTGCTATTCACTTGATACATAGTGCACTAACTCAATTAAAAACCCGTGTAAATCGAGGAAACCGTGATATTAAATACGACCTGTGTATTAAAGTATTCTTAAAAACGAAAAAATGAAATAAAATAAAAGTAAAAAGACCGAAGTAAATGTAAAATTAAAGTAAAGGGAAAAAAAAAGCTGCTGGTAGTTAACCTTGTTGAACACTGTTGAAATTAGAATCCAACTTCTACCGCGTTAAGTCATTTTATAGCGGAGCACCATGGGTAAGAAAATTTGGTAAACTATCCATCTGAGAAAATTTGGTTATGATGTAGTAATTCATGGCTGGTTTGTTTATTGCGCTTTTTGTTGACAAATGCACCGCTTGTCAAAGTCATTGGAAATCCGATTTCGGATGGCATCGTTTTCAAAAATGAGCTTACTCACTTGCCCTTGCTTGAGGCGTAAGAGGGTTGACCCTCAGAAGCAGCATCTCGACTGGTAAGCCTGAGAAATTGTTGTCTTTGATGTTTTTTTTTTCGGTTTCCTGAAGTCGAGCGTATGGAGTATGCGGCTTAAGTTTATACACGAGCAATGATCTAACCTACAATAGTATCAGGTTTAAAAAGCCTTAAGACATTATTTGACCGCAAATTCAAAGAAAATGTTCCGAAGATTATTTACTTATGATTTTGGCTGTAAACAGAAAGCTCTGGGCGATTTTCTTGCCTCGAGTTCATCTTGAAAAAGAGCAAACACCGGGAAGCCTGCTTAAAACATAAATAAGCTTATGCTTACCTGACTCATGATTTTCAAAGACACTTTACTCTCAATACTTCTCTCCGTGAATGAAAATTATTGTCTCTGTACATGTTTCACCGAATTATATTTATTTTATTGATTGTTAGTAGTCCCTCTCGCAATTTTTATCGCTGCACCGGTTGTATCCAGTCGAACATAAACATCTCATGCAGGAATACTCAAAACGCTGCGCGTAAATATCACTCGCTTTTAAAGATTTTACATACCAAAACCATACGCAGTTTAATAAAGAAAGGGAAATAAAACCTAAACATAACAATTTATCTATCATGTTGAAGCGTAAATGGTGACTCTATTAATCGCACTGCAAATTTGGTGCCTGTCAAAAGTGAGCCCCGTCCGGCTGGCCGAAAAGAGATTTTGGGAATTTGTTTATCGTTTTCATTAAAAGCCCATATTACCCTGCATATCACATAGGACAAGATTTTTCTAACTGAAAGTCCTGGCATTATAGAATTCTCCTCATGAAAACGTTTTATAATTCAATGCTATAATTTGTTGTGCAAAGGAAGGGCGTGCTTTGATCGTCGTGGATATTGAATGAGTGCATATTCTCTTGCAAAATTGTGAAAAACTGCAGAATTATAGGTTTAAATAGGGCAAAAAAGAACAAATTCTGTCCGAGGACTGTATGATAAAAACAAGGGCCTCATAGTACTGTTTACCTGAGACGTGATGAGAAAAAGTATGTTTAAAAGGCTGGTTTACACGCCACCAGATTCGTCGCCAAGATTTACTAGTAAACTAAACTTGTCGAACACAAAAAATCCGGCCTGTTTTTTTTATTTTGGCCTCCCTTTTAGACAGAGGAATGCAACGTGTAAATTGGCTGCCACCAAGGACTATCGTGGCGCGTGTGTTTCTTAAAATTATATTTCGGGGTTGTCCAATTATCCATAGTCTCTCAAACGGAGCAATGTTGGAGAGAGTGGTGAATGCCACATTATGAAGCAACAGCTAATGCAAATACAATGCACGAATAGGTAGGTCTATTTGTTTTCCAGGCCTAATCTACTGTGATCGAACATGATTGCTATTTTTGGGTGTACAAATAGGACTATTTAATAACTCGATGTAAAAGCTGTTGCACTCTTGGACTGTCAAATTATTTTTCTCTAAAATCACCAGTCACTTAGCTTTTGCTTCAAACGTCAAATGAATGTGCCCTGATCTGTGGATTACAAGTTTATTGTTTGATTTAAATTATGAATTTATTAACGGGAGCTTCGCTTTTAGCCCTGGCTAAATCTATATATCATTTAAGTTTTTGAACTTTCTATTTGCACATCTGCCATAAGACACCTCGTTTGCCCCCTGAAGTTGGTGGTTTTGTTTGGAAGCCCTGTAGATTTGAATTAAGTTTGAGCAAGGCAAGTGGTGGGTTGTTTGTGACTGGCTCTGACTACAGATGGAATGGCGGGAGGGCGTAAGGGAGAGCTTGCAAAAAATATAAGACATCTAAATATGTCAACGGCTCCTCATCGCTTTAGAACATTTACTTTAAGCCGAGACTAGCTCAAATTCGAGCACTTTTAACAAACGCTTAAGCCCTGAAGCTAATGCTTGCATAATCAAATAGGTTTAGATTTGTTTCAAGACCAAAATTTGAATTGATTGCGTCTAGTTTATACACCGATAGGTTTGAGACTGATCGGAGGAAGTTGGCCTGGAGAGGGCAGAGTGGAGATCTATTACAACGGTACCTGGGGAACGGTTTGTGACGATAATTGGGATGAAAATGATGCTCGAGTTGTCTGTCGTCAACTTGGGCATCCTTCTGCTGTCAGTGCTCCAAACACTGCACGGTTTGGTGAAGGAAGCGGAAAGATTTGGCTGGACGATGTTCAGTGTCAGGGAAATGAGAGTTCCATTGCCAGTTGTCGACACCGTTCATGGGGTGTGCATAACTGTGGACACAATGAGGATGCATCAGTGATCTGTTCAAGTAAGCGTAATAATAAATAGATTGTAATTTATAATTATGATTTAATAGCTTTTATTAGAGTTGAGCCGAATGTCAATTACAATGGACCATCTCGGGACACCTCCGTATTGAAGGGAAAATTCAGGGGAGTCTCAGTGTTAACGTACATATAACCTTTTAATTTGTTACATCTTTTGAAGGGACGTCTCTATTAAGGGAAAGGAACACTTTTTCTGGGTCCCGAAACCCGGCCTTAACCTCCATTCAAGGGACATTTTAATCAGCACCAAAAAAGCTGACTAACGCTAAGATTCGTTGATAAGTTCACTAGTCGCAATGGCGACAGCTTTCAAAACATGAACTATCTGACTTGAAAACGATGTATTACACTTGTGAGACTTCAACACACCACATCACAGAAATAAGTTAATCAGGATTTTTTTGTACATTATCTAGATGCTTGAAATAATGACTGCAGCAGATTCCGAGGCAGAATAAAAAATGCAGATTTATTTGTTAGTTAATTATGAACATTCACATCCCAACCTCCATTCAGGGTGGACACCTCTGTTCATGCTTAACTTGCCTTGGACCCGAGAATTTCCCAATATTTTGGGTGTGAAGCTGTTGTAATATGTAGTTTTTGTGATTCTGTTTATTATTAGAAATAATGAAATTACTGACTATATAATTGTAGACCCATTGGAATGGTTTGCATTGTGCAAAGCAGGATCTATTACTTGACAGGCGTCACATGAGTTTGACTATTTGAATCTGTTCCACAGATAATTTTGTTTACTCTTATTAGCTTGCAGTTCATAGTATTGCCATTAAAATTTCACCTACGCAGCCATTTGCACAAACCCCTAGTCACAAATCGCTTAATTAACTACTAAATGATATATCACAGCAGGATTGATGTAATAAGTAAGGGGCTTTGTAATCATCCCTGCACTCTCACCTTTGATTCGTCACTATTGTTCAAACTTAAACGAACAGTGTCTCGATTATGCGTACGCGCGAGCGTCATCTGTTCTTTCTTCAAAAGACAATAGAACTGTCATATTGACTCGACAAGATTTCTTTCCGGACCGCCCCGCCGACGGTGATTTTTTGTTTACATTCTCAAGTAATATTTTAGACTTTCGAAGAAATCTTTCGTCTTATTGAAAATTTGGCTCGCGGCACTAAGACTCATCGCGTCATGATTTCATAGCGCTAGGTTTTGTAAAAATGTGGCGCCTCTTTGTTTGATTTTGTCGGCCTTTGGGAAGTTCATTTAAAAGTTTACTAACGCGTCGTTACAAAACATCTTGCTTTGCGAAGCTTAATTGCACAAGATCTCCTTAGCCACATCAATGTCTCAATGGTTTCTTTGTTACAGTCTTTACTGTTGCTGTTTCATTTCTGCGTATTCCTTTCACACTATCTGAGCTTGTATGGAAGCTAACAGAAGAAATAAGCCTTCAATCAGCATCAAAGCGCTTCTCGTCTTTTGGTCCTCGGCCAAGGGCAATAAAAGTAACGCCAAAAAAGCTCGATTTCTCCCATATCGAAATTTAACGGGAACAATATATTATTGATCTGTAATCCTGAGAAGTTTAAGTGTAGCAATGAAGTCGGCCAAGCGCGAAGCGGTTCTCTTACTCTCCTCGCATCTTTTGATTTCGCGACATCCTGTCCAAAAATCAACGTTTGGTGCATGCGCAGTAACGGGATACTGTTCCTTTAATACAGCGTTGTCAAGAGAGAATTTAACAGCCCCCACTGCAAATATTCTGCTTTTTTTGTATCGAGGGCTTGATTTCTGGACTTGATTAAACTGTGCGGACGCCTCAGGAATAAGACTTCTGTTTAATGACAACCACTAAAACTAAATTTAGTGAAATTCACATACCCACGCCAACACCTTAAGATTCCCTCTCTGCCGGGCCCATTTAACTCTCTTGGCCAGTATGTGAAGGCGTTTTCACGGACAGTTTTGTTTTTAAATGAAGTTTTGGGGGAAAATTCAAGTTAAGTTCTGTTCCTCAATAATACGGTCATCGAAGAGGTAGCTGAAAGGTGACGGTCTTATATCGGTCTCTTGGTGGTTGCTCTTTCAAAATGAAAATCCCTAGCCTTGTTCTGGTACATTTCGCAGTATTCACCTATTTCTTTGCACACTTCAGTCGAATAGCATCGCAGACGTTCTGTGCAGATTACAAAAAAAGACGAAGTTTTCAATTTTAAAATATTCTGTGTGCATGACAGGATAACAGATTGAGGAATAGAGTTGTTTGTTTGTTTTTCAAAACCCAAATAAGCATTTACCTGTAACTTATACAATAGCAACTTTAAGACTGATTGGAGGAAGTGGGCCTGAAGAGGGCAGAGTGGAGATCTATTACAGAGGTACCTGGGGAACGGTTTGTGACGATGATTGGGATAAAAATGATGCTCAAGTTGTCTGTCGTCAACTTGGGTATTCGCTTGCTGTCAGTGCTCCACACAGTGCACGGTTTGGTCGAGGAAGTGGAAAAATTTGGCTGGACGATGTTCAATGTCAGGGAAATGAGAGTTCCATTGTGAGTTGTCGACACCGTCCATGGGGTGAGCATAACTGTGGACACAACGAGGATGCATCAGTGATCTGTTCAAGTAAGCGTAATAATAAATAGATTGTAATTTATAATTATGATTTAATAGCGTTTATTAGAGTTGAGGCGAATATCAATTACAATGGACCTCTCGGACTTCTCCTTATTGAAGGGAAAATTCAGTGGAGTCCCAGGAAAATGTTCACAGACATAACCTTTTTATTTGTCACCTCTTTTGAAGGGAAATCTCTATTCTGGGGAAAGGAACATTTTTTCTGGATCCCGAAACCCGGCTTTAACCTCTATTCAAGGGACATTTTGATCAGCACCAAAAAGCTGATTAACGGCAAAATTTGTTGATAAGTTCAAGTGTTCACTAGTCACAATGGCGACAGCTTTCAAAACATGAACTATGTGACTTGAAAACGATGTATTGCACTTGTGAGACTTCAACACACCACATCACAGAAATAAGTTAATCAGGATTTTTTTGTACATTATCTAGATGCTTGAAATAATGACTGCAGCAGATTTCGAGGCAGAATAAAAAATACAGATTTATTTGTTTGTTAATTATTAACATTCACATTCCAACCTCCATTCAGGGCGGACACCTCTGTTCAGTCTAAACGTGCCTTGGACACGAGAATTTCCCGATAGTTTGGGTGTGAAGTTGTTATAATATTTAGTTTTTGTGATTCTGTTTATTATTAGAAATAATGAAATTAATGATTATATAATTGTAGACCCATTGGAATAGTTTACACCGTGCAAAGGAGGATCTATTACTTGACAGGCGTCACATGAGTGTGACTCTTTGAAACTGTTCCACAGATAATTTTTTTCTACTCTTATTAGCTTGCAGTTCATAGTATTTCCATTAAAATTTCACGTACGCAGCTATTTGCACAAACCACTAGTCACAAATCGCTTAATTAACTACTTAATGATATATCACGGCATGATTGGTGTAATACATAAGGGCCTTTCGAATCATCCCCGCACTCTAACCTTTGATTCGCCACTGTTGTTCACACTTAAAGAAACAGTGTCCCGAATATGCGCACGCGCGAGCGTCATTTATTTTTTTCTTCAAAAGACAATAGAACTGTCATATTGACTCGACAAGATTTCTTTCCGGACCGCATCGACAACGGTGATTTGTTGTTTACATTCTCAAGTAATGTCTTAGACTTTCGAAGAAATCTTTCGTCTTATTGAAAATTTGGCTCGCGGCACGAAGACTCATCGCGTCATGATTTCATAGCACTAGGTTTTGTAAACATGTAGCGCCTCTTTGTTTTATTTTTTTTCGGCCTTTGGGAGGTTCATTTAAAAGTTTACTAACGCGTCCTTACAAAACATCTTGCTTTACGAAGCTTAATTGCACAAGATCTCCCTAGCCACATCAATGGTCTCAATGGTTTCTTTCTTACAGTCTATTTTTGCTGTTTCATTTCTGCGTAGTGTTTTCACAATTATCAGACCTTGTATGGAAGCTAACACAAGAAATAAGCCTTCAACTGGCATCAAAGCGCTTCTCGTCTTTTGGTTCCCCGGCCAACGGCAATAAAAGTAACGCCAAACAATCACGATTTCTCCTAAATCGAAATTTAACGGGAACAATATATTATTGCTTTGTAATTCTGAGAAGTTTAACTGTAGCATTGAAGTCGGCCAAGCACGATACAAACGGATTTTTCAAGGTTCTCTTACTCTCCTCGCATCTTTTGATTTCGCGACATGCGCAGTAACGGGATACTGTTCCTTTAATTCAGCGTTGTCAAGAGAGAATTTAACAGCCCCCATTGCAAATATTCTGCTTTTTTTGTATTGAGGGCTTGATTTCTGGACTTGATTAAAATGTGCGGACGACTCAGGAATAAGACTTCCGTTTAATTACAACCGCTAAAAATAAATTCAGTGAAATTCACATACCCACGCCAACACCTTAAGATTCCCTCTCTGCCGGCCCCATTAAACTCTCTTGGCCAGTATGTGAAGGCGTTTTCACGGACAGTTTTGTTTTTAAATGAAGTTTTGGGGGAAAATTCAAGTTCAGTTCTGTTTCTCAATAATACGGTCATCGAAGAGGTAGCTGAAAGATGACGGTCTTATCTCGGTATCTTGCTGTTTGCTCTTTCAAAATGAAAATCCCTAGCCTTGTTCTGTTACATTTCGCAGTATTCACCTATTTCTTTGCACACTTCAGTCGAATAGCATCGCAGACGTTCTGTGCAGATTACAAAAAAAGACGAAGTTTTCAATTTTAAAATATTCTGTGTGCATGACAGGATAACAGATTGAGGAATAGAGTTGTTTGTTTGTTTTTTAAAACCCAAATAACAATTTACCTCTAACTTATACAATAGCAACTTTAAGACTGATTGGAGGAAGTGGGCCTGGAGAGGGCAGAGTGGAGATCTATTACAACGATACCTGGGGAACGGTTTGTGACGATAATTGGGATAAAAATGATGCTCGAGTTGTCTGTCGTCAGCTTGGGTATTCGTTTGCTGTCAGTGCTCCACACAGTGCACGGTTTGGTCAAGGAAGTGGAAAGATTTGGCTGGACGATGTTCAGTGTCAGGGAAATGAGAGTTCCATTGTGAGTTGTCGACACCGTCCATGGGGTGAGCATAACTGTGTACACAATGAGGATGCATCAGTGATCTGTTCAAGTAAGCGTAATAATAAATAGATTGTAATTTACAATTATGATTTAACAGCTTTTATTAGAGTTGAAGCGAATGTCAATTACAATGGACCCTCTCGGACTTCTCCTTATTGAAGGGAAAATTCAGTGGAGTCCCAGGAAAAAGTTCACAGACATAACCTTTTTATTTGTTACCTCTGTTCAAAAGGGACATCTCTATTCAGGGGAAAGGAACACTTTCTCTGGGTCCTGAAACCCGGCTTTAACCTTCATTCAAGGGACATCTTAATCAGCACCCAAACGCTGACTAACGGCAAAATTCGTTGATAATTTCAAGTGTTCACTAGTCACAATGGCGACAGCTTTCAAACATGAACTATCTGACTTGAAAACGATGTATTGCACTTGTGAGACTTCAACACACCACATCACAGAAATAAGTTAATCAGGATTTTTTTGTACATTATCTAGATGCTTGAAATAATGACTGCAGCAGATTCCAAGGCAGAATAAAAATTGCAGTTTTATTTGTTGGTTAATCATTAACAAACCCCAGCCCAACTTCCATTTAGGGCTGACACCTCTGTTCAGGCTAAACTTGCCTTGGACCCTAGAATTTCCCGATATCTTGGGTGGGCAAGCTTTAATTTTGTAATACGTAGTTTGTATGATTCTATTTACTATTAGAAATAATGAAATTAATGACTATATAATTGTAGAGCCATTGGAATAGTTTACATTGTGGAAATAAGGATCTATTACTTGACAGGCGTCACATGAGTGTGACTCTTTGAAACTGTTCTACAGATAATTTTTCCTACTCTTATTAGCTCGCAGTTCATAGTATTTCCATTAAAATTTCACCTATGCAGCCATTTGCACAAACCTCTGTTCACACATCGCTTAATTATAACTACTATATGATATATCACAGCATGATTGGTGTAATACATAAGGGGCTTTGTAATCATCCCCGCACTCTCACCTTTGACTTGCCACTGTTGTTAAAACTTGATTCAGCGGTGACAAGAGAGAATTCAACAGACGCCTTAGGAATAAGACTTCCGTTTAATTACGATCACTAAAAATAAATTTAGTGAAATTCACATACCCACGCCAACACCTTAAGATTCCCTCTCTGCCGGTCCCATTAAACTCTCTTGGCCAGTATGTCAAGGTGTTTTCACGGACGTTTTTATTTTTAAATCAAGTCTCGTGGGAAAAGTTAAGTTCTGTTCCACAATAATAAATATGGTCATCGACGAGGGAGCTGAAAGATGACGGCGTTATACCGGTCTGTTGGTGGTTGCTCTTAAAAAATGAAAATTCCTAGTCTTGTTCTGTAACATTTCGCAGTATTCCCGTATTTCTTTGCACACTTCAGTCGAATAGCATCGTAGAAGTTCCCTGCAGATTACACAAAAAGACGAAGTTTTCCATTTTAAAATATTTTGTGTGCTTGACAGGATAACAGATAAGGGAATAGAGTTGTTTTTCAAAACCCAAATAAGAATTTACCTCTAACTTATACACTAGCAACTTTGAGACTGATTGGAGGAAATTGGCCTGGAGAGGGCAGAGTGGAGATCTATTACAGCGGTAGCTGGGGAACTGTTTGTGACGATAATTGGGATAAAAATGATGCTCGAGTTGTCTGTCGTCAACTTGGGTATTCGTTTGCTGTCGGTGCTCCACACAGTGCACGGTTTGGTCAAGGAAGTGGAAAGATTTGGCTGGACGGTGTTCAGTGTCAGGGAAATGAAGGTTCCATTGTGAGTTGTCGACACAATCCATGGGGTGTGCATAACTGTGGACACCATGAGGATGCATCAGTGATCTGTTCAAGTAAGCGCGATAATAAATAGACTGTATTTTCTGGTAGGTATTTTTAGAATTGCGCCTTTCTGTTTTAAAAAAGGCCCGCGCTTAATACGATTCGTTTGCCTCACTTTCATGTCGAACCGATCGTAGCAGGGGCGCACTCATAGCTGTACATTTTGCAGATTGCATAAATTACTTTGCTGATCTGTTAAGTCCCGACTCTATACAGTCAGCGCCAAATTTCCCATTTCGAATGAAGTGAGTGACATTTTGTTTCAACAGGGTGTGTAATAATTACAGTTGTACTGTATTCTCCCTTAAAATCCTAATAGTAATAAGTAATTTAAAGCTAGAAACGTTCTGTCCGTTCTACAGCTCTCAGGCGAGAATTTAAGTACTTTAAGGTATTAAATTAGGTGTTATTTTAATGTTAACTATTCATATACAGCTATGGACTAGCCAATAGCAATTTTGCTTTTGTTTTAAATTAATTGCATACTTATTATTTTCTGAATAATGCATCTTAGCCACAAAAACAAATTAAAGACGCAAAAATAACAATAACTCTCCCTGTTTGCGGAACGTCCTATCTAGCTACAAAATCGAGAATTCTGTAATGTATTCCCTTTGCAGTTGCTTAGCCTTTCTTCACCATCTCCCTTTTTCAACAGGAATTTCGAGTGTGGGACGGAAAATTAGTGGGTTTCGTCTGAGGGTTAACGTTGAAGTTATACTTCAAGAAGTTTAAAGCCTGGGTTAGTGAGTTTACCTCTAGGAAAATATGGTTTATTGGCTATAATTTTGTCAGGAATGGAACTGAGTCGAAATGGTATAGATAGAGAGACATTAAGGTCCTTGAAAATATTAAAGTACAACTAGTATCCGTTTAGTACCTGGCTTGAACTGTCACGTGACCATTCTTACTGAACGTCTCAAATAAGTAACGAATTGGTGACCGATTTTAGAAAAGAAATCGTCTTCTCTTCACAGTCTTTGTATTAAATATTTTTAACAATTTACGTTTACAGAAACTGTCCATTGCAACTTTGATAAAAATAATTATGAGGACAAACACCATTTCAATGGCCAAATTCACACGTGAATTACTCAAAACATTAAGGTGTTTCGATATAGTTTTTCAGAGGCCATACCGATATTTTTCAATAGCTTTAAAAGTGATTTTATCCTTGTCTGATCGCTATAAAATTTTCTCCAATAATTGACTATAGATTGAAATTTGTCAAAATGTAGGTTTTAGTAAAATCGATATTGCCATGACAACAATAAACAACAAACTTCGAAATTGATAAACGCCAAATTTTGCGCCATCTAGACTAGCCACTGGAAATCCAACGATAGGAACTTAAAGTTTGGTGTTTAGAAAATAACCTCAGTAAGGATTAAAAAATTCTATTTGTTTGAATTCGACTAAAACGAAAATATATTTCAAACCTTAAATTTGCAATAGCCTTGATAGATTTTTTAATAAAAACGTTATAAATGACTCAAATTATTCTTAAGTAGCGTCAGAATGCTGCTTAATATCATATTTCGATGCTAGGAAATTTTGGTGTATTTTCGTTGCTGCGATCTTAAATCCAACCCGTTTTCTCACCACCCGTCTAAATTGCAACTTCATTCAAAATATGGACTTTTAGCGACAATACATGTATCCATGACTAGCACATTTCAGTGTAAGTATTGTCAATGCTTACATCCAAAAGATGCGATAATTTCAAACTAAAATGTACTAGTCATGGAGGTATGTGTAGTGCGCGTTATTTTGGAAAAATTAGCATAACGTCAAAAAAGTGAATGTTGTAACGCAGATTTTTGACAGTTTCGTAGGATAGGTCTGTCTTGAAATTTTAAGATTTTGCAGTGAATCAATCTCAATGAAAGTTTCAGACCTTATTATATACATTATGAAGATTATGTGAAGAGATTTTTAAAAAAATTGTTCTAGTCGTTTCAGAGGTATACAAAAAAGCGCTTAAAGTCCAATTTTGAATGAAGTTGTACTTATAAAAGTGGTGAGAAAACGGGTTAGTTTTCGAGATCTCAAGCACGAAAATGCATCAAAATTTCCTAGCATCAAAATATGATATTAAGCAGCATTCTGACGCTACTTAAGAATAATTTGAGTCATTTTTAACGTTTTTATTAAATAATCTATCACGGCTATTGAAAATTTACGGTTTGAAATATATTTTCGTTTTAGTCGAATTCAACTGACATACATAATTTTTTACTTCTTGCTGAGGTTATTTGCTTAACACCAAACTTTAAGTTTCTAGTGTTGGATTTTCAGTAGCTAGCCTAGATCACACAAAATTCGGCCTTTATCAATTTCAATTTTTTTGTTTATTGTTGTCATAGTAATATCGATTTTACCTAAAACTACATTTTCACAAATTTCAATCCACAGCCAATTACTGGTGAAAGTTTTATAGCGATCGTACAAGGAAAAAAACACTTTTAAGGCGATTGAAAAATATTGCTATGGCTTCTGAAAAACTGTATCGAAACACCTTGATCGTAAACTTCTAATACATTTATGCTGATAATAATTTTTGGCAATAATTGTATCCGTCGCCGTAATTTTTATGTCATCTTTGAAAACTTGTATTTGAGGGGAGGCCTAATTAACAGTCATTAGCTTCATATGGTTTTCTTTAGGCCTTCTCGATCGCCATTACTTTCTACATTTTCATTATATGGTTTGTTTCAAACTTTTGATCAAGTGGCATTTCACGTGACCATAAACATACGTCAAGGCTGCTGCTGAAAACCCCAAGATTTCCCTTCGGGAAAAATTTTATCCTGTTCGTTCGGGGTATCCTAGCAAGAGATTGCCAGTCAATCATATTTTACAACACTCTTTTGACCCTAGAAGCCAGGCCTTAATCCCTTGAGTATAGACGCTAAGTACATGTAGACGCTGAATAATGTCATTGTGCTGAACCATCTGAATGCAATGATCACTCTGATGAGCTTGCCAATTCCAAGGTGATCTGGGTGTGCGCTTGCGTAAGGTCCTGGCCATACCTCATAATTCGCGGAGAAGTGTTTAAGTCTTAATGACCACTAAAAGTCCTTAAGTTTAGTGTCTGATGACGTCATAATTAGGGAAAAAGAGAAATCTGAAACGGGCCAAGGATGTTATTCAACGGACTTGTACTGAATTCTTCAACTCAAATAAATGACCTTGCTGTTTTAAAATA